GTGATGGTGATGGTGGGGTGGAGGTGGTAAGAGTGGAGTGGAGGTGGAGGTGGAGGTGGAGGTGGAGGTGGAGGTGGAGGTGGAGGTGGAGGTGGAGGTGGAGGTGGAGGTGGAGGGGTGAGGTGGTGGTGGTGGTGCTGGTGGTGGTGTGGTGTGGTGTGGTGGTGGTGGTGGTGGTGGTGGTGGTGGTGGTGGGGTGGTGGTGGTGGTGGTGGTGGTGGTGGTGGTGGTGGTGGTGGTGGTGGTGGTGGTGGTGGTGGTGGTGGTGGTGGTGGCGGTGGTGGTGGTGGTGGTGGTGGCGGTGGTGGTGGTGGTGGCGGTGGTGGTGGTGTATATGTTTGGGCCCCGTAAAAACTGGGCGGAGGCGGGTGAGGAGTGGCTGGCTCCCATGGTGCGGCCCGATGTCCGCCAGCAGACCAAGAGCCTCTGCAAGAGGTCGCATCGTGCAGTGGACGACTCCAACAAAAAGGGGCTCCAGCGCCAGTGGGCAGCCAGTGGGGTATCCAGCAGGCCCCCATCCTAGTGGCGGACTGCTGGGCCCCGCTGAGCCCGCCGGCAGAGTCACGGAAAAGCACCGGCATCGTCCCCCGTTTGTGCTAAGCCTACCTGCGGCCGATTCCCAGAGAAACAAGCGCGCGACGGACGAGAACGCCAGCATCTCCCCAGTAGTGCAACCGGGTCGAGGAGGACGAGGCGAGGAGGGCGCCCGCCTTGGCTCCCTCCGATCCCGCCGCGGCCGCCAGATGTAGGCCGGCCCAGCGACATCGGACGGGCCACGGAGGAACCCTCGGAGGGGCCACGAAGGAGCCCTCGGGGGAGCCATCGGAGAGGCCCTGGCCCACGGAAGGGGCCACGAGGGAGCCATCGGAGGGGGCAGGGCCCCAGCGCCTGGCCGCGCAGGCCAGCGCCGGCCCCGGCGCGAGTCGGCAGCGGAGGAGCAGCTCACCGAGATTTCGCAGCAGGCCGAGCAGAGGGCGCAGGGCCCCGCAGCAGGGGAAAGGCCCGGGTGCGCGGCGATCAGGCTCGAGACCGCGTGGGCGCGCGGCGGGACTTGGGCCTGGCGGGCGGCGCTGGACCGCGCGCTCGGGGACGAGCACCGGGCGAACGAGCTCGCGCGCGAGGCGCGCCGGGAAAGCCCGCCGGCGCTGCTCGAGATCGCCACGCGCCGCCGCATCACGAAGCGCGACAACCCCAAGCAGCTGGAGCAGCAGAAGCAGGCGGCCACGCAGCAGCGCAGCACCGCCCCCGGAAGGGGCAGAGCAGCCCCCGGAGAGGGGGGAGCCCAGGCCGGGGCCGGAGGCCTGCCGGCACCGGCCCAGCCAAGCCCCCAGAGTGGCCAGGGCGGTGCGGCGCCAGTGAGGAGGAGCGCCAGCGTCTTCCGAGGCTCTCCACTCCCCTGCGCTCGCCCACGCCTCTTGCTTCGCATCTTGCCCCGTGGAGCCCGCCGTTGTCAGGAGGCCAGAGCGCCTCCGCTCTCACGCAGGTTGGAGCGGCGTTGCAGCGGCTGCTGCGAGAAGGTGGGGACGAAACTCGGTGGCGCCCCAGGGTGCGTGGCAGGAGAGCGGGAGTGTGGAAGGCCATGGACCCGCGGTCGCCGACGGGGAACAGGGAGGAATCCGAGCTGGCCGAGCCCAGCAAGGCCAAGAACAGGAACACGGCAAGCAAGGGTCCCCGGGGTGGCCCGCCCAGCATGCAGGAGACCGCAAGAGCAGGAAGTACAAGCATCGCTTACGGGCTGCCAGGCAGCGCTGCGGCAAGACTCTGTACCAAGAGCGATTGGAGTCTACGGGTTGGAAGTGATTGTGCGGGGAGCTCTTCCCAGGAGCACCACCACTCAGGAAGACGGCTGTCGGGTTGGGAGGATGGGGCTGGGAGACATGATCAGATCATCGATATGACCGAGTATGTGGAAGGTGCTTGTTACACGGTCGCACCCTGCATCTTCCAAGCCCAGTCCTCCCAACACGGCGAGGGCCTTTCTCAACCAGCGACGGAGAGGAGGGAGGGGCGCCACGAGCCATCCCCTTGAAGATCGTCTCCACCGTCGCGGCCGCCTGCAAGTTCGCCCAGGGCGCGACGAAGGTGTCAGGAGGGAAAGAAACACACAGACACAAGTAATCGTCGATTCCCCAGAAAATATGGGAAAATATGGGAAGTGGGGGGAAGACAAAAACCCAGAAAATATATGAAAATATGGGGAATATGTTTATTTGTGTGTATTTGTTTGTGTGTCCCAGGGCCCAGGGCCCCTTCAAGGTGGTCCCGGGGGAGGGCGCACCACGGGCCAGCGCGGCAGCGGATCCGGCAGCATGGGCGAGCACGGACCGCCGCCACCGCGCCGGCCGAGAGGAGGCGGCCCAGAGGGGCGGGGGGCAGCTCCGCTGGCCAGGCCGACCGCGAGGGCAGCTCTCACACGGGGCGCAGGGACTCCCCGGCTGAAGCTGCGGAGCAGGGCCACGTCGAGGAGGAGAGGGAGGGGGGGGGGAGAGAGGAGGAGCCGGAGGAAGAGGAAGAGGAGGCAGAGGAGGAAGAGGAGGCAGAGGAGAGGAGAGCGAGAGAGGAGGAGGAGGGAGGAGGAGGAGGAGGAGGAGGAGGAGGAGGACGACGGGAGGAGGAGGTGAGGAGGAGGAGGGAGGAGGAGTGAGGAGGAGGAGAGGAGGAAGGGGAGGAGGGGGGAGGGGGAGGAGGGGAGGAGGAGGAGGAGGAGGAGGAGGAGGAGGAGGAGGAGGAGGAGGAGGGAGGAGGGGTAGGGAGGAGGAGGAGGAGGAGCAGGAGGAGAGGAGGAGGAGCAGGAGGAGGAGGAGGAGGAGGAGGAGGAGGAGGAAGAGGAGGGAGGAGGAGGAGGAGGAGGAGGAGGAGGAGAGGAGGAGGAGGGAGGAGGAGGAGGAGGAGGAGGAGGAGGAGGAGGAGGAGGAGGAGGAGGAGGAGGAGGAGGAGGAGGAGGAGGAGGAGTAGGAGGCGGGGAGGAGGACGAGGGAGGAGGAGGAGGAGGAGGAGGAGGAGGAGGAGGAGGGCCACGTCAAGTGGCACAAGAGGCAGGCCGAGGTGCGGAACCAGATCGGCGGAGGCGTCGAGCAGCGGGCCCACCAAGGGCCGCGGGCCCCGCCACCCCTCGAGGATGGAGGTCTGCAGTTGCAGCGCGCGCTGTGTGTGCGAGCCCAGGCTCAAGCACAAGAAGGACGCCTCCAATTCTCCTCCTCCTCCTCCTCCTCCTCCTTCTCCTCCTCCTCAATCTCCTCTTCCTTCTGCTCCGTTTTCCCGTGATCCTCCTCTTCGTCCTTTCCTTCCCTGCTTCCCTCCTCCTCGGCATCCTCTTTTGTCCTCCTCCCCCTGTCCCCTTTTGACACCCCTGCTGACCCTGCTGTCTCTTTTCTGTCAAAGGTGCATTACCCCCAGAACCGGTTGCCGCAGTATTTCCGTTCGGTCGCGTGGCGCCCGTTCTCTGGCCTCAAGTTTGCGCGCGGCGTGTTGGCAAGAAGGTCACGGTCATTCACCGAAGCGTGAAGCGTTGGGAGTACTGTGGGGTTGAGCCTCGCCCGGCGCACGACGACCCCGAATGGTTTTCCTTGTTGGAAGCGAGATTTCGAGAAGTATTGGTTGCGGGCGATGATGGACGCAATCCTCGTTTGTGTCGGCGGGGTGGGACACTCCGCGATAACATCGAAGACGCATACACACTATGTAGCGGCCTTCGGACCATCGGACCACCGCACTTGGGTTGCAGGCCAGACCCTCATTGGATTGAGGTTGAGATACGTTGGGGGAGGCGTTCGCAGGCCTGTCCGTA